AAATAGTTTTATTGGCCTGTACTTCACATACTGTATAATCATTCAGTCCCGTTAAGAAGAGTTGTGCAATCATCACCACAATCCTTTTCGAACATTTTCTTCTGGGACACCTTGTTAGCTCCGTGTTTCCCCCAATCTCCCCTGCCATGCCCCTAGGTAATTATTAATCCAGTTACTGCCGCTATAGAACTGTCATATCTTGGATATCATATGCAGAGATTCATACGAAGCAGGAAGCAAGCAAACAAAAAAGACCAACAGCAATGACAAAATAACAAACGTCCATCACAAAGAAGATATTAAAAACGGAAATAACTTTAAAATGGGTCAGGAGGGAGATCAGATGATAAGGTGTTAACATTTTAACCTGACCACAGCTGCATTAAATCCACTTTACACTGCTCTCTACCCAATAGCAAGGCTGTTTACATCCCTAGACTGTCACAGGCCAGAGGGGATTCATAGAGGCTTCATCCATGGAGACCCTGCTAATGGATTTTGGGCTTCCACTGTCATCTGTCACTGCCATCAAATCAATGCCAACTCATAGGGACCCTTGTGAGTTTTGGAGACTGTAAGCCCTGTCTCCCATGGAACAATTGGAGGTTTTGAATGGCTGACCTCACAGTTACCGAGTTAACTGCTACGCTTAAAAACTAGGTGTTCAGAATTTAAGCTCTGAAACCGTTCCCTCCTTCAGATTTGGATTTCCTTATTTCTAATCCTTGGATCTTGAGCCCAGTCTTTATGGGAACCGACAGCTTCATCTTCACCACAAAGAGCAGCTGGGAAGTTTAAACCAAGGACCTTGCATTACCAGCCCCGTTCCTAACCCACTATGCCACAAGGGCCCTTCCCTTACTTTACACTTAGTACATCTCAATTTGCACTGGCCACATACTTTGTGCTCAGAAGCCATTTGTCATGGTGAAACCATAGCTCAACCTGCTGTGCAGTTGATGATTTGGGCTCAAGGTGACCCCCAAGTGTAGGACTGCTGAAAGGGTATTTGGGGCTGTCAACTCTAGAGAACCCCTTGTCAGGCCTTTCTTCTGTAGTGCTGCTGAGTGGACTCAGGTGGTCAGGCTGTAGGTTGGTCAAGGATGAACAGGTTGAGCTACTTGGGGACCTACTTATTGGACAGGGCAGGTTTCAACGGTTAGGCTTGTCAACAAGCAAAGGCATAGGTTTTGCTGAAATAAAAGCAGAGCTCGGTGGAAGGGTCAGAACCATTTGACCTGGGCACACGTCTGACTCAGCAAGTGAAATCATAGGCTCCAAAACGGTGGGCAAACAGGCTGATGTATAAGGTAGACCCCACAAAAAGTACACCATTCTGACTGCCAGCTGCCAGGTCAGGGACGCTGGTGGCAGAAGGAAAGCAGGCTACTTGGAGTGGTTTGACACCTGACCAAAGGGGGTTTGACAGAATGGTCTTAAGGTCATTCTCTTAATGAAATTCAATTTCCCGAGGGGATTTCTGAGGAGACCAGGTGGCTCACAGGAGGCTCAGCACTGAGCTGCTAAGCAGAGTCAGCAGTTGACGCCCACCTGCTCTGAGGGAGGAGTATAGGACGGCCTTCCTACTTGGGTGAAGACAGTCTCAGAAGCACACAGGGGCAGCCCCGGTCTGTTCCATGGGGTCGCTGTGAGTTGACCGGCTCAGTGGCAGCAAGTCTGGTGTTTCTGAGTTTGAGGGGGTTTCAGGTGAGGGTCTGCAGTGAGGGTCCTTCGTAACAGTCTATAGCTTTAACTTAATCGCCAAATGAAACTTTCTTTTCAAGTAACAACGAGTACAAGAAGAAAATGTTCTAAAATTGATTGTGAATTGAACTCTTGAATTGTATATGTGAATGAGGGCCAATAAAGCTGTTAATTTTTTTTTTCAATTTATAAATTGGTTTTGGTGAGTACCTAAGTCCGTCTAGGAGACCTGGTGGCTCAGTGGGTTAAACATTGGCTGCTAGCCACCAGGTTGGCAGTTCAAACCCACCAGACGCTCCTGGGGAGAACGATGAGGCTGTCTGCTCCTATGAAGGTTCACCGCCTGGGAACCCCTACCACAGAACAGTTGCTGTATCAGAATGGACTCCCTGCCAGTGAGTTTGCTGGTTTGGGTTGGTTTGCTGGTCTGTGTCAGGCGGGGTGGGCTGCTAGCCAGAAAGTCAGCAGTTTGAACCCCTCAGTCGCTCCTCAGGAGCAAGATGAGCTGGCTGCTTCCATAAGTCTGGAAACTCAAAGGGACAGTTCTACTCTGTGCTGTAGGGTCACTGTGAGGTGAAATAGACTTGTCAGCAAGGAGTGTGGTGCAATTTGGTTTGGGGAGAGTTTGACACTTGGCAGGGGACATCCTTTGTCATGTCCCTGTCTCTGAGGGTTTCATTCAGCAAAAGCAAAGATGGAGTTGGGGCTCAGAACTGTCCTGGAGGTGAGTCAAGCACCTCAGATTTGGGCACTCAGACAGGCTGGTCCATGGCGACTTGCCCTCGTGTCTTTTCCCCTCATGCCCTCCACCCCTCTTGCCATCCCCATATCTGTTGTACTGGAGAAAGGCCTGGCGGTCTGCTGCTGTACAAATTGCAGCCTAGGAACCCCCTGGGGCAGTGCCACGTGGCACTACTCTGCCACGTGGGGCACTGGGCGTCAGAGTCAACCCTATGCAACCGCAGTAAGCAACTTTCACAAAAGGGCGGTTTCGCCGAGTCCCTTCCATTTAGGAACCACACTGCACCTTTTATCCTAAGATCTGGTGATTGCCAGATCTTTGAAGAGCCCTAGGGAAGCAACCGGAAGTGAAGTTGTGCCAGCCAGCCATCAGTCAGCAAGGCCCTGGCTCCCCTGAGCTAGGCAGGCAGGAGAGTAGACAGGACTGATTTCATGTTTGGGCCCTTTCTGGAAACACGTTGCTTAGGGATGCACCGTGCTCCTCACTCTCCAGCCACTCAAGCATCCCTCAACCAAATGTATTGGAATCTGGTGCATGTGTATTTGCTCACACAGTCATTGTGCCAGGCAGGGGCTCTTAATGACTTGGAGTGGAGATGGGAGCTGGACGTTCTTCAATAAAAGCCAGATTCGGCAGTCCCAGCCTGTGGTAGGCTCTGGGGCTGCACTGACTGCCCTCAGAGGGAAGCCGCTTTAGGTCAGTTGGTGAGGAAGGCTCTTTAAAGACCCACCTGCTAACTGTTAGACTGCTAACGACCCAGCGACGGCAGTTTCCCGATGAGTGGCCTCTCCCTGTGTTAGGGGCCATGGAGTGGTGTTCAGCTCATAGCCACCCTATGTGTAGGTCTGCCCCACCGGCTTCTCTAGGGAACAGATCGCCTGGTATTGCCTGGCATTTGAGCAGCTGGTGGGTTAGAACGACCAAGTTTTCAGTTATCAGCCAAGCGCCTAACCAGTGCACCACCAGGGCTTCTTAAACTGAGAAGAGAAAAAGATAAGCAGGGGTCCTGGGTGACCGTAACCAGGTTGGCCCAAGTTCTCTGGTAAGTAGGTGGCTTGCCCTCTTAGTGATGTGCTGGTGTGGCTCAGATTATAATAGGCCTCTCTGGTTGTTAGTACTTCTCTGTGTATGTTCAGGTTTACATTTATTGATCCTGTGACTAGCACGTTCATCATGTGTTAGATTTTAAAATACTCCCCTAGAAGTTGATGGGAAGCTGAGGACAAGAGATGTGTTCCTGCTGACCCTGTTTCTCAACGTTTGCAACTGCCGCAATGACCAGCTGTGTCCAGACCCTAAATGCACTGGATCTGTGTGACTTGAGAAGTGAATTAGAGAACAGGATTTAACCCAAAGCACTTCAATGTTGAGAAGTTGTGACACAGACCGACGCTTCTGTTGTGGCAGTGATCTGGTTCGAAAAGAGTAATGAACAGGGAGCCAGGAAACAATGACCAGCTTCCCAGTTCTGACTTGGCCCTCAGCTGACTCTGCAAGGCATCACCCTGTGTGAGGACTCAGCTGTCTCATCCCCTTAGGAACGCCCGGTAGCCCTGTCTTGCACAGTTGCCGTGGTTACCACGGCAGTCACGCATGCAGGAGCACGTTAAAAAAAGCTCGCCCAAATAGGATCTTTTTATGGAAGTTTTCAAAAATGGTGAATGTGTGTCTTGTCTTGCAGGTTGTGGGGTGATCATGGACAAGAGGCTCTAGAAGCTGCTCACGTGTGCCTGATAAACGCCACCGCCACAGGAACTGAAATTCTTAAAAACTTGGTACTTCCAGGTAATGCAGTTTTGCAGTGGTGCGCCAAACTTACTTCCCCAAGGGTTTGAACTAGAAACACAAATCCTTGACGGACGGTTTTGCCTCGCAGGTGTTGGCTCATTTACAATTATTGATGGAAATCAGGTCAGCGGAGAAGATGTGGGAAACAAGTAAGTGCTGTTATTTCAAACAGAGGTACGTTAAGGAGGCCAGCGCTGTTCCAGGAGAGTGAGGCTCCTCAGCAGAGGGGCTGCCCTCTCAGGTGGAACCTGCTCCTTCCTTTGGGGCTCTAGTGAGGGTGGTGTAAGTTCATAATATCACAGGGCTTCAAAAAGTTCATGGGAAAATTCCATTATGCTTTATCCTGGAGCTTGTTGAAGCCCCCCCCCCCCCTCGTGATAGGCAAAGTGCTAGCCTGGTGTCTGACAGATAGGCTGTTAATAAAAATACCCGTTGTTCCTATCATTATTATATCTCTAGATTACACTGTCTCTATAAAAATGCCATTTTAAAGATAGCCTGGATATAATTCTTTAAAGATCATCCTATTAAGACTCTGAGCATCCCCAGATTTGAATTACAAGCTCGCCTTTTCAGGGATTTGGAGTCCAGGGCGGGCATCTCCTAGGATTTGCCAGGAAATAGAAGGGAAACAGGGCCTGGTTCATTTTGAGCTTCGATGTCTTCTCTGGGTGGCTGTATGTTTCCCTTCTCCACAACACCCCCCCCACCCCCTTTTAGTATGTGTTCTAAAAAAGTCCTGTTGTCTTTGCTTGCTTACTTCAGTATATGGGTGATTTGCGTGGTTGTTTAGCAGGATGCGACAAGGTTTCTGTGTCTCAGGGGCCCCGAGGAGGCACAGTAACTCTGAGAATGGCTTCCTCAATCTGGGCCTGGGGACTTGACAGAAAGAACTACAAACTCTGGTTTAGTGTTCAATGTAGCATTTCCCAAAGTGTGGGCCGTGAATCTAGGTGTTGTCTAGAGAAACAGACCAGTGGCGCTTATCTATGTACAAGAGGGAACTTTACATCAAGAAGGCGCCCCAGCCCAATCAGCTCAAGTCCAGAGTCCAGTGCTAGCCAGGGTCCTCTCCATTAGCTGCAGGCTGATGATGCAGAGAGGGAGGCGGGAAGCAGGGAGGCCACAGGCTGGTTAAAGTCATGTGGATCCAAGGTTGATAGAAGCATGGCAGAGTGCTGGCAGCGCTCAGGGCCAGACCGCCCGCATGGGGCCACCCCTGGAGGCAGACCCAGAGTCCCAGTGAAGTCCCAGGGGAGAGGAAGGCCGAGTGGCAAAGAAGAAGGGTTTCTGTTTGATCTAGCTGATACAAATGGCCACCACTCTCCCCAAGAGGTGTCATCAGGCTACCACTCACTTGACGAGTTGGACTGGCACTGCCTCTAGCCAGGAGGCCCTGGTTGACATGATGTCTAATTACCACACGAGGAACCATGCAGTTGGATTCCATCGTCGGGTGGTTTGGAAGACAGATGAAATGAGGTTAAATATTTCACTCCTCTGAGACTTTCATATCATGTGTATTAAGTATATTTCGAATGTTCACGCTGGACATAACAGCAGACTTTGATTTTTTAGCTATGGGGCTCTCTTAGTTCAGAACCTCTTGTGGAATGTCTTACGCCATGGCATACACTTGCATTTATTCGTCACTTTTTTTATAAGCCTCATCCTGGGTGCTTCCTCCAAAAGGGATTTTACAACTTAATGAGATTACAGCTCTCTGTTGTGAAGGAAGTGCACCTGACATTACAAACAACCTTTTCACTGCGGTTAAATAAGCCTTTGTTTGTCTGTTTTCCTGCTCGTTTCAGTTTCTTCCTTCAAAGAAGCAGCATCGGCAAGGTAAGCCATTCTGTTTGTTACAGAATGCAGTGTGTGTGAGTCTCTGACGAAGCCACTGTGCTCTGCTTGCTTGAAAAGCTTTGACTTTAAAAGAACTTATTTCTCTGAGAAAACAGTTGAATCGGCTCATTTTTCTACTCTTGTCAATCTTTATTAGAAACATTAGTTTGAAAACTTAGCAATGCTGTCTATATTTTTATATCGTATCCTCTGTCTTTCACTAACGCTAAGTCCTGAGTAATGATACTGTTCAGATACGAAGCATTCTGCAGAACACAATTTTTAAGAGCTAGTTGGAATACCCCTTATTTTTATGGCTCATATTAAAACATTTGCAAAATTGTATTAGTAAACTTACTACACTACTCTGAATGAAGAATGAGTGTTACTTGAATGTTTGGCCTCTGTTACATGGGGTTATAGAAGCGGGAGGTTTATTTGAGTCTGAAGTTGATTCTGGACATCCCTGCTTGCTGCCCAGGGTTTTCTGGTCATTTGCCTAATCAGAAAAGTAGAGTATACGTTATGCAGTCTTTATGAGGGCTTTGGTAATAAAGTTTGAGCTGTTTTAAGTAATATTCTTTTTGAACTCCTGTTTCTACACTGCAGAAAGCGGAACTGTCATACAGATGCAAACAATTCAAATAGGCTTCCGCTATGTTCTGACTGGGGCGGGCGCGGTTTATGTTGTAACTACATTTTCCCTAATTCAAGTCAAATCCTTTTTTTCCCCCAAAAGAACCGAGCCCAAGCTGCCATGGAATTCTTACAAGAATTAAATAATGATGTCTCTGGAAGTTTTGTGGAAGAGGTACCTGTGAACAAAGATTATTTCTCTGCTGAGATGGAATTGCTTTAATGATTCACAGCCCTGGGCACATAGAATTATGATTCTTTATATCACTTAGGTTTACCTGAGAGTTGAATTCCTTTAACTGTGGGGTCTAGTATATTGCTTCATTTGTTTTTAAATAACTTTAACCGTTTCTGCCGTGTGCAATTTGAATGTGAAATTTTCTATTTTTTTCTTCCCGTCTTAGAGTCCAGAAAACCTTCTAGACAATGATCCCCCGTTTTTCTGTAGGTTTACCATTGTGGTTGCAACTCAGCTTCTTGAAAGGTAAATGCTTATGTTCACCGTTTTTATTGTAATCTCTTTCCTGGAGTTACATAAGCTTCTTTTTTCTGCATAACTTAAGGTTTGGTCTTTTAAATGTTTAAGCTTTCTAGAAACCTTTGGTTGGAAGCCCTTAAAAATCCTCCAGCTCTGAAGACAGGGAAGAGGAACAATCTGAGACGTAAAACATGCCTGGATATATTTAGAGCAGCTAAACCGAGCACTTGTTTGTCAGTGACGAACACTGTCGGCCTGGATTGGAAGAAGCATTTAGGGCTGTGTGCACAGGTTTGATAGCAGTCCCTAGGGCTTGCCCATGGCTCCTCATGGAAAGGCTGGTGGCCCAAGACCTTCCTGTGGTGGCCCGGGAGAAAGCTGTCCATCTGTTGTGACAGCTCAACCAGTGAAAGCTTCGGGAGGTCAATTATGCTCTGCGCCCAGGTGCCCTCTTGTCAGACTTGCCGTGACTGCCATCTAGTCACTTCCCATTCAGAGCGACCCCAGAAAGCACTGCCCCTGTGGGTTCCTGAGACGACAGCTCTTTCCAGGAGTAGTGAGCCTCATTTTCCCTAAGGGCTGGTGGTGTCTTTCCAGTGGCTGACCCACTGTGGCACCAGGCTCTGCACTGTTTTGATGCAGCTGGGCTTGTTTGTTTGCTTCACTCGCAAGGGTTTTATAAATGGACCTTTGCTCAGCGTGGAAATGTTTAGAAAGAGGAAGATGAGACTCATACTCCTAGAGTCCAAAATATATAGTTCTTTAAAAACTGCCCACTGTGGAATCGCTTGCTTTTCCGCACATTTTTTATCTGCCTTTGAGACGCAGTAGCTGGAGCTCTCTCTTTGTGATTTGAATAAGAACAAGGATCCAAACTGGTGGTGAGGTGGGTGTGGGAGGCCTGGTAGGGCATAATCAAGGGTAATGTAACAAAAGAGGAATTGCTAAAACCCTGGTGGGGACTGAGCACAATAGTGGGACAGGAGGAAAGTCAAGGGAAATAGAGGAAAGAGCTGGGAGGCAAAGGGCATTTATAGAGGTCTAGATAAAG